GGGATCAATGTAGGTAGTATGAACTGAAGGTAAGGTCGGTTGGCAGGACTTAGTGTACTAAATTATCATGACAGTCTTGTATATAGTAGACATCTGACATTGCAAAGTAACGTGTCTAAACATATTATAAAAGATATTAACAGAAATACTACATAGCTTTAACATTATGAATTTTAGAAAATTATATGAGAATGGGTAACTGTTGACTGAAGATAATCAATTCAACTCAAAAATAGTGCAGTGTATTATGCTAATAATATAAGTATATTCGTAAAATATTAAAAGATATGGTTGCTAATGTAATGGTTTTCGGAAATAATTATACTGACGAACTTATTGAAGATTACAGTGAAGAGGAAACCAGTGAGTTAGTTAAATGGCTACTGTGCAGTTAGTAGTTAAAACGTCTTTTTTAAAAAGTAAAGGGTAGAAGAGTTTTGAGCACCGGAGCAAATTAAGTCATATTCTACTGAGTAGAGTGTAGTGAGTAGTGGTACGATTAGGGATAAGGGTAGGTTGAATGAACTTGGGGAAAATGGTTGGTTGGTTGAGTTTGTTATTGCTAGGTATTCCTGGCCACTTTTCATATGGCATGCTTTAGACATTACAAAGTACCAGTTTGCTTATATTATGGGAGAACTATCACAACTAATTTGGGATTATACATCCAGGAGAGTCTAATGAGTTTATAAACCCGATTGAAGAAATATCGATAGGATCTCTAGTAAGCTGAATAACCGGACCTTAGGTAAAGGCATGTGGGAGAGATTAGGTTGGTTTTATCACGTTATAGATGAGGTACGGTTGCCGGGGCAAATGAGTTTCCTCAAATTGGGGGTATTGCACTGGGGTCTGTAGTACTAAAGCTAGTTGAGCGGCCCATATGGATAAAGTATGGATAAGTAGACCGAAGCTCTTTTGTTGATAGGAACTCGTTAAGTAGACGCTGGAATTCAGTAGGAGATCGGCAACTACGTACAGTAAGTGGAAGTTCGTTCCATAATGCACTGTACTGTATTTTAAAGAAACGTGATCGCAGTTTTGTCCGGAACCGGCTTATGGATAGAGTATTTTCATGATTCCTAAGAGTATATATGGGTAAATTATTGAAAGCTATTGGATTACTGCTTTTGGTGTAGCCGTGTAAAAGGCGAAAGAGGAATGTAAGGTTGAGTTTCAGGCGCCTTAACCAAAGTGGCTGAAGTCCATACATTTTGCACCTATCAGCGTAAGTCAGTCCTTCATGTTTGTATAATAGGCGTCGAGTAAAACTTCGCTGAATATTTTCAATACGAACCCTGTCATACCCATGCATGAAACCGAAGACAATTGTGCAGTATTCAAGTACTGGACGAACCATGACTTTGTATAAAAGGACTTTAGCCTCATTTGTGTACATTTTTCGATGCAACAAGCCTGTGAGTCTTCGGCATTTAGAAACAAGTGCTTTTGCGTACTGACTGAATGTTAAGTTTTGTGAGTAGGTAACTCCCAGGTCTTTTATGGAACTGAGGGTTTGGAGAAAAGAGTTACCTAGGTGTAACCTGAAATTCGGATGGGAGTTATTGAAATATAGGACACCACATTTATCAGAATTGAATGGCAGTTGCCAGTCATTGCTCCAGTTATGTAACCTATCCAGATCATCTTGAATATGTGTGAATCCTTCGTTTAGTGTAGAATGGGGGAAGCTGTATACAATCTTTAAGTCGTCAGCAAAGAGGTATGGGGTACCATGCTTGATTACGCTGCAGATGTCGTTAATGTAGATTACGAAAAGCAGTGGACCTAGTACACTACCCTGAATCACTCCACTTCTTATAGGTCTGGGTGACGAGTAATTATTTGCAAATTTCACAACTTGGGAACGATCTTCCAAGAAAGAAATGAGCCAGGATAACAAGGGGTCTTGGAACCCGTACGACTTTAGCTTAAGGATTAGTCTCTTGTGTGGGACTTTATCAAAGGCTTTTTTGAAGTCAAAGAAGAGAGTTGTGACATACAAACCATGATCACGCTTAGCGGTAACATCATCAAAGTAGTCAAGTAGGCAGGTGGAGCATGATCGATTTTTCAAGAAGCCGTGTTGTGCTGGAGTAAACACTTTGTGAAGGTGGAGGTATGAAGCAATATCTTGCCCTATAACCTTTTCCATAACCCTGGAAACTACTGACGTGATATTAATCGGTCGGTAGTTTTCGATGTTAGAAGTTGGTCCTTGTTTGTGCCTAGGGGTTATAAACGACAGTTTCCAGCATTCTGGGTAACTGCCATTATTTAAGGACAGAATGAAAAACTTTAGTAGGATAATGGGTATATCCTCACCACCTCTTTTCAACAAGATAGATGGAATTCCATCGGGCCCAGCGTTATATGATGTCCGGAGGGATGCTATAGCGGAGGAAATCTTTTGTTGGGTGAATGTTATATTACCCAAAAAGTGATTTGGTATTGTCGGAACTTCAAGACTATCTACTGTTTCTTCGATAGTATAGTAGCTAGAAAAGTGGGAGCTGAATAACTCACATATCTCCTGCGGGTCTTCGTGTAGTTTTTCTCCATCTAGTAATAAGTTAGGGATACTTATTCTGTTGTTGTTGATTCGTGACTTAATTAGTTTAACTAATGCCTCTGTATTATCAGGTCGTGAGTGGAGGATGCGTTCTAGTTTGATGGACTCAGATAACTGATTAGATTTGTATGAATCATAAGTTTGCTTGAGTGTAATGAGTGATGAAAAGTCATTATATCTGTAGAATTGCCTAGCATGCTTACGCAGTCGGTTTCGAATCTTTACGGGGATGAAGTCGGGCTGTTTAGGCCTCGTTTTCACAAGTCTTACTGGAGCGATGAAGTCATGTGCAAATCCTAGGTTCTCATAGAGTAATTTGTTTGTCTCTATAGCCGAGCTGCACGTAAAGTATGGCTCCCAGTCTAGGGTGCGTATGTATGGTTTCAGTTCATCCCACTGAGCATGTCTGTAACCCCTGAGTAATACTTTGTTGGCGTTTATTGTCGAACTCATGCTAGTGCAAATATTAAATGTACCGAATACTACTCTGTGGTCGCTGCCAGGAAACTCTTTACCTACTCGAAGGGTAGTGGGGATGATACCATTAGTGAAAACTAGATCTAAAATCTTAGATAGCCTGGTAGGATACTGTACGTGTTGTTGCCATTCTTTTGTTTCTATTATGTTGATAAATTCATTGTACCGTTTTGGTGAGGAAAGTGGTTGCCAGACTACATCGGGCATATTAAAGTCCCCACATATAATTTTAGCCGTGTGAGGTAGTGAAGTGGCGTAAGCGAACGTGCTAGCAAGCTTCATATTACCTTCAACGGTTGAGCACGGGGGGTGATAGATGCAACCTATAAGATAGGAACTGGAGTGAGACAGTCTTAGAATAGCCCACACTGAATCGTTATCTGTGATGAGCTCTGGGTAGAAGCACTGTGTGGCCTTAATATCAGACCTGATATACATAGCACATCCTCCTCCTCTACCATAGTTTCTGTCGCCTCTGAATACATAATAGTTATCAATAGAAATATCTTTATCGCAAATCTGAGGAGTGCACCATGTCTCAGTAATCATTATGAGAGACGGATTGCAAATTAGGGATAATGTCGTGAAGTCGAACATTTTGTTGAGTAAGGAGCGAGCATTGATAAGACAGAATGAGAGAGAGTTAGGGGTGACGGTGAAATCGCATATATCTTTAAAAATATTCTCTCCAAGGTTTATGGCGTCTAGAACAGATTGTTTGATGGGTGCTAACTCAGATGGTGGCCACTTACTAGCAGTGCTGGAAAAGTGCCCTACACCAGTATCAGCACAGAGAGATGTGCCATCGTTTGTTACCCCGGCGGGTGTGAGGTGTTCATATACCGTGCCTCCAATGCATCGCCCTCCCATCCGGTGATAAGTGGCTTGACAGTATGTGTGCTATTTGCGTCAATATTGAGGCTGAAATTTCGTGTTGGCTGAGAAAATTTAGATTGGATGGGGGGGAGGTAGGTATTCCTTGTGGATAGTATGCTGGGGTAGAGTTACGTGTATCGCAGTTATGACTAATATTTTGTGTGTTTAAGTTATTTTCGTAAATATTAGTCCATTGACGGTCTTAGCTATTAGCAATGTCATTCCATGTAACTAGGAGTATTTGAACTATTTAGCACTACATCTTATCATACTATAGTTAATTTTATCCGTAGGGAATCACCCCTTAGAAAAATATATATTGAATGACAACCATTACTGGTTTCCTATGATAAAACAGGCAAAGTTCAACAATAGCGTCCCAAGGGATGCGAACGCATGAGTGACCTTCAGACAGCCAATCATAAAAATGAGGAATTTTTGCACGAAAAATGACGTATATTCACAAGAAAATGCATCAAAACACATTAAACGGATTATATTTCTCTGATATGACTTAAAAATACGTTCCAGTTGCGATGAAGAGTATCAGCTGCTAATTTGGACTAGTTTCTGTAGATGTATTCACCAAAATGACTGAAGATTGGCTGTTTTGTGAATTGTTCATCTCTCTTCCATTGCTGTTTAGTCCTCTCCTAAGCCCTCGGTTTAGTTACTATGGTCCCAGTAAGAGCATTGGCGACTACATACAAGGGAAATAAGGATGATAAAAGAACTTAAAATAAACGAAAAATCTATTCCTAATCGCTACCCTAACCTTAACCCTAAACCCTAACCCTAACCACAATACTCGCCTTAACCCCTATCCTAACCCTAACGAGATGTTAACACATTGTCCAAACAGTAATAAAAGTGTTATCTGGGTGAAACTTGCTCCTTATTTGATGAATAGGGTTGATATTTCAGCTATGATAATGACAGGAACCGTTAGCCAACGACTAGCATGCGTTCAAGGTCATTTGAGCGTTGAAGGTTTTGGGACGCTATTCTTAAACTTCGCCATAAAACATTACCAGCTAATTTCTACAAACTTAAGAAGTCAAAACAAAAAACGCACGTAACAGCTCTACTGGTGTAGCGACATATTCCGACAGTGCGCCTTAAGTTCATTGAAGTGTTCAATACCTGCTTGGCAAAATTGCATACATATTCAGATTTATTGGTTGAGGATAAGTGCTTGAAACCTGTGATAATCATTTCTAGTAAATTTCTTTGATTGTTCAAACCCTTACTGTATAAAACAATTGAGGTTGTAGACACCACTTCTTCTGGGAGTCAGTCGGTTCCAAGAGTTTATGTCTCGGTGTGAGAACCAATACTCGACAACTATATGATTTTTTCTCGGCTTTCGAACTCTCCTGCCATGTCCTCAAAGGTAATTCGGCCTGATGGGAAAGAAAAGAGAGAATAAGTCAGGGCAGTAGTCATTATTTAAAATTTTTAACATTGTGATTAAATCTCCCCTCTGCCTACGGTATGACAGGGAGAAGAGATTTAAACTGTCTTGTCTTTCCTAATATGATAAGTCAGTCATGCCGAGAACCATACGTGTTTCCTTCCTCTAAACCCTTTCTAGAATGTGAGTCCCGTTTTAGGCAAGTACTGGCTGCCCGGATAGAGCTTTCCAGTCTTAACCTCAACAGACATGTAAGTAAGGGGGTGTACATATCTCTGATAATTCTAGTAAAGGCTCTGCGAATTGCCCATAAGGCACTGGAGCTACATGCAGCCAGCGCGCGACAGTGTGCTATAGTTTCTAAATCGTGGCTATCTATGACACCTAAGTCCAAGTGATTCCATATTAGTTTGCTTATTACATGTATCACACAGTGCAACAGTATTATTTACTGGATTACGTTTGGAACAAAATTTGTTGTTCATAATCATATCAGTTGTGTATGATATGATACAACTGATATGATTGTGAACAATAAATTTTGTTCCAAACGTAATCCAGTAAATAATACTGTTTCACTGTGTGATACATCTAGTAAACAAACTAATATACAATTACTTACAGTGTCCAAGATTTACACACATATTAATAAGTCCAAGTGAGTCTAAACTGACGAAAGTGTTATTCCCTCTAGTTTTAAGAAGATAGTGCTTGATTCTCCGATGTGCATGGTTGAACATTTTGTCATACATAACGGGAGCATCCATTGCACGTACCACTCTGACAAGTTGTCGATGTAGTTGAGGATTGAACGATCAATTCATGGTTGTTTGCTCAAAACCATCTCCATATTTTTCGCGGGAGTCATCGATACGGCAGTCATCGTCTTATCGTTCGCTGTTCGGTGGAAGAGATAAAACGATCAGAAGTATTATCGTAAATAATTGCTATAACATTTATTCTTAGACCTTGAGTATAATAACCTTATTTCTGGTTATATATTGGCGTAAGAATAAAGGATTCTAAAGACGCCAAACTGTGCTCTGGTTTTCGCATCGGTTAATACACATTTGTCAATATAGTTGAAGATTGAATGATCAATTCATGGTTGTTTGCTCAAACCCAACTTCCCCAATTTTCGCGGAGACATCAAGACGACAGTCATCGTCTCATCGGTCGCTGTTCAGAAAGAAGTCAGCAGAAAACCGTCAGAAGTAATATTGTGATTTATTATTGTAATATTTGTTCACAGACATTAGTCATACGTGATTTATATGTTGGTGTAGCAATAAAGAATCCTCGAGTCAACAATTGGTGTTTTGGTTTTTTCGTCCGTTATTACTAAGCGTTTCTGAGAAACTTCAAGGGACGGCGTGAGCCCGAGTGCAGCAAGAGCTGGCATTAACGGTTTACGAGACGTGGCTGACACACGGGTGGTGGGTGAGTACTGATGTGGAGTCCCAAAGTAGGCGGACGAAATAGTTGGATGTCCAGTACTCCCTGTCATGTTTTCCAATGGCTCTCTAACGAATGTTAGCTCATGGTGAAATCCTGTGACCAATCAATCAAATCCCTGCAAACCAACACTTGAACATAGAGAAGACAGAAGTGATGAAGACAACCAACCAACAAGTACCAGTCATTATTGACAGCAGAAATTTGAACTAGTCCACTTGTTCCGCTTATTTGGGCAACCTCGTTTTAACAGTAGACAATAGCACAGATGAGAATGTCAAGGCTAGCTAGGATCAGGGAAGCAATATCTGTGTTTATTATAGTGAAATTAGTCTCTGACACCCACCAACTCAGCGACGGCTTCAAAGTCCTGCAAGAAGCTCCTTATGTCCTCTTCTTCCAACGCAGAAGTCTATGGAGGCAGAGACACCATTTGTAACTATTGAAGAACAAGATACTTCACGAAGGAATGTTTATTTGCAAATGGGTATCTGCATATGGCCAAATTATGTATACCTTATTGTCAATGCATGCACCATTTGCACAGATCTTCGTGTTGTTGAACTGCTGTACCTCCTTCATATTGTGTTTCTTTGTCTTCCTTTCACATGTCTCCCATTTATCTCAATGACTATGTTTCAGTACTATCCATAAACATCAACACCCTTAGCCTCTGATTACCTTTTCAATGATTTCATCATCAGAAGCTGTACAGTCACCTTTTTTGTCTTATAAGTATTCACATAGTTACAATTATTATTTAGTCCCACATAAAAACGAAAGGGATTGAAGGTGACAATAGTTTTCAGTTAGATATGATAGGTTGAAAGTATGAATATAAGATTACAAGGGGCTTGGAAACAAAATTATACAGGCTTAGGATTTAGTTGCATAATACCTTAAATAGTCTTTAACGGAGATAGGTATGAATGAGGCAAGCATGAAAACAAATTGGACACTGGTCTGAAATGATGGAGTCGGCCTATGATGAGCAAACAACCGTCCGACATGTCGATCACATTAAGGCAGTTTTAAAGAATAGTGGGATCCTATTCGAATGACCAACTCAATGGCGTTGAAATAACCAATCAGAGGGAGCTGTAGGAAAGTTCAAAAAGACATAAGAATACTCAATAGATCACTTCCCCAAAAACATCACAATAATAACTCCCAATTCCTCAGAGTAGTGTTAGTATTTATCCAAATAACTGTCGTTCAATATTTAAGGGTTAGTTTGCAGGGGTTTGATCAATTGTGGCGTATGCTACTGATAACACTCATCAGCAGTATATAGGGAGGAGTTCATAGCTGCAAAAGAAATATCAAATAGTGGAGAGATAGATCTGACGCAAAAAAGAGAAAATGAGTCATCTCTGCTCACCGACTCCCCTACGGTGCTGTGTACAGATGGATTGAAAATTTTGAGAGAGCTGAACGCCATTGGTGATAGGTCTACTTTTCAAGAGGAACTGAACGACATGTGTCAATGTCCAGGACTTACTACGCTGGATCTCACGCTGTCCATGGAAGACTTTCAGAAACAATGTTTTCAGCCACGTCTCATAAACCGTTAATGCCCAGCTCTTGCTGCACTCGGGCTCACGCCGTCCCTTGAAGTTTCTCAGAAACGCTTAGTAATAACGGACGAAAAAACCAAAACACCAATTGTTGACTCGAGGATTCTTTATTGCTACACCAACATATAAATCACGTATGACTAATGTCTGTGAACAAATATTACAATAATAAATCACAATATTACTTCTGACGGTTTTCTGCTGACTTCTTTCTGAACAGCGACCGATGAGACGATGACTGTCGTCTTGATGTCTCCGCGAAAATTGGGGAAGTTGGTTTTGAGCAAACAACCATGAATTGATCGTTCAATCTTCAACTTCATTGTAACCGTGTTCGAACCAGGGACCTTCTGGTTACAAGGTAGGCTAGCTCGTATACTACTCAGCCACTGGGACGCGGTCCGCTGCCCCATGAATTCCAACTTCTGCCAATTTACGTCATAGCGCGACCGCTAGCCAGTGTCTTCGGTGGCGAGTATTTGTCCTCGCACCCTACCTGCTGCACCCTACTGGTCATGACTTCTCCCTAGAACTCCACGTAACTACCTGGGTAATTACCTGAATGTGGTAAGTCGCTAGTGAGCATCTCATTGATATTCAGGTATCGGTTTGAAAGGATTTGATTGACTGATTACAGGATTTCATTATGAGCTAACATTGGTTAGAGAACCATTGGAAAATCTGAGAGTACTGGTTCGATGTCAACCTACACTACAAAAAACCAAAAATCTTGAAAATTTATTTTTCTCTTTAAACTTGAACTTTCTGGGCATGAAACTATATTAGTGTAATTTTATAAGCAATGTCTGACAAGTTTGGAGTCTCCTGTCCTGAACTGACATTATGTAACATTTGGAAGTACGTTAAAATCAACCTCTACATAAAATTTGTAATTTTTTAAAGTTGTAAGCAAATGATGAGAAGCCAAAGCAGTAAATGGTGGTACCTTTGAAGACATACAGGCGCAAACTAATAAACTGGCGTAAGAAGCAGGCAGGCACGTAGCGAAGACAGCACCCCAGGTGAACATAGAGAACACGGAGGTGATGAAGATAACCAACCAACCAACCAACAACAACAGAAATAGGAAAAACAACCAGCACCAATCATTGTCAATGGAGGTGAACATTGAATGTTTGTTTTTGGAACTGGTAGTCATTGGTGGGCAACTCGAAGGCGCTAATTGTAAGGCATGGTAAGTTTGGCGGTTTTCTAATGTTCAAACCATGCTTGTCTACTTTCAGGTTGGCTGCGAAGTATGCAGGGATTGGTTACCCAAGACGAGGCAACGGATGACCAATAGGAGTGCCCTTCCCTCTTATCTAATTGTATTGCGATTGGTTGTAAATATAATACTTGACCTTGAGTCTTCGTTCTTACTAGCACGCAACACTTGTGTGATCACGCTGCTAACGTGCGCTTTGCTCTCTGTTTCAGATCATTGCTTGACGAGTGGGATTACATAAATGGCGAGCCTGCCAACGAAAAAACTTTCTTCTTCCAAGTCTCGACCCAGTGAGGCTCCCAAGAACATTTCGCCTGTCAAAGAGACAGCATCCAACGAGGTGGATCAATTAGCTGAAGTGAGGGCTCCAGCTTTTCAGTCAAATCAGCCTGCTTCGCGATATGTCCATCCCTTGCCGCATACACTGGAGGTGGGTGATGATTTCGAGCTGTGGTCGGACAAGGTGTGCCGATACATTGATCTGATGAACGTGCCTCACCCGAACGCATTCGTCATCGATTCTGTTGGACGGTCCTTGGAAATGTACACAATTGGTTTGGATTACGTGCATATGCCCTTGACCACCCTGTTGAGTACTCTAAGAGCACGTATAGTGCCACCAATACCTCCCATTGAAGCGCTGAAAAGATTCAGCGAGTGTAACCAGAGACAAGGTGAATCTATCAACCAGTTCACCTTACGTCTCCGCAAGCTTGCGCGTCAAGCTATGCAGGACAAGACATACTCAGAGGTTGAAAACGCCATATATTCCAAGTTCTTGCAGGGTGTCGACGTCCGTTACAGGAAGGACTTCAACTTGCACACTCCAGCATCCATGGCAGAAGCGGAAGCTAGGGCACGCCTAGTGGAAAGCCTGGAAGAGCCAGGAACCACATGCCCACAAGTAAACGCAATGGGATATCAGCACACAACAACAAAGCATGCACAGAATCCTACACCACCGTGGAAAGGACGCCCACAGTCGCAATCCACTTCAAGAAACGATTGCTACTACTGCAGGCGGTTTGGTAAGCTTGCTAGGAGTTGTGGTCACAATGCAGGTGAGTCACATGTCGATATGAATTGTGTGCCTACTGTAAACCTAATCGGTGTCACCTCCTCCCCGAAAGTTGTAGGTTATATAGGTGGAAAAAAGTGTGTTATGTTAGTTGACTCAGGAGCAACTTGTTCTGTCATACATTCCTCATGTGTTCCAGAGACGTTTAGGCGAACAATAGGGACTCACAATTTGCGGCTTACGACAGCCAATGGAGATTGCATGCAATCCCAGGGACTGGTCCTGCTGCCACTTAAATTGGGAACACTGTCACTTCAACACAATTTCATCATCTCTACACGGGTGCCGTGGCAGGTAATCTTGGGAGTCGACCTCCTGGAAAAGCTGTCCGGAATAATAGATTGTAGTCAGAGGACTCTTATACTGAAGGACTGTTCCATCCCATTTATTGTAGGGAACGACAAAGAGCACGGCACTTTTGGCGTGCAGGGAGATGCTAAGAATGAGAAACAGCGAATGCTGACGACTATAGAACCCCTACCATCGGAAACGGCTGCCAACTTTAATAAAATGCTAGACAAATATGAGGACTGTTTTGACTGGGATGGAAAAAGCCCGGGAAGAACAAAACTGGTCCAACATCACATAGAAACGGGTAACGCCCCACCTTGTAGACAACCTGCACGGCGAGTACCTGCACATTACCAGAAGGAGCTTAACAGGTTAGTTGATGAACTGTTAGAGAAAAATGTCATCAAACCATCCGTATCTCCATGGGCTTCACCGGTAGTTTTAGTTAAGAAATCGAATGGGACACTCCGGTTATGTGTAGATTATCGTAAGTTGAACCTGTTAACTAGACGAGACTGCTTTCCCCTTCCACGCATAGACGACACTTTTGATGCCTTAGAGGGTCGAATTGGTTTACCACTCTAGATCTGGCATCGGGATATTGGCAGGTTGAAGTACACCCAGATGACAGGCAAAAGACAGCATTCATTGTACAAGCAGGCCTGTATGAGTTTGAAACAATGCCGTTTGGGTTAGTCAATGCCCCAGCAACATTCCAACGCCTCATGCAAACGGTCTTGAGTGATTGCATACCAGGTAAGTGTTTGGTATATCTAGATGATGTTATCATACATAGTAAGACGTTGACCGAACATTTAAGTGATATTTCCGAAGTATTAGAACGGATGCAGACCGTTGGGTTAAAACTGAACCCATCGAAATGTCAATTCTTCAGGAAAGAAGTGTGTTTCTTAGGTCACATTGTTTCAGCCGAAGGCATTAAATGTGATCCAGCAAAAGTTCAGGAAGTTAAAGACTGGCCGCTCCCAAACTCAGCCCCCGAGTTACATAGTTTTTTAGGGTTAGCCTCGTATTATCGACGTTTTGTACTTAACTTCTCTTTCCTTGCAGCTCCTCTATTCGACATTCTTAAGAAGAAAGACTACAATTGGACAGCATCAGCTACGGAAGCCTTCGAAAGACTTAAAAACTGTTTATGTAGCCCCCCTATCCTAGCGTATCCCAATGTTTCTGACCAGGCAGGTCCATTCATCCTAGATACAGATGCTAGCGACTCTGGTATCGGGGCAGTTTTGTCTCAAAAAGACGCAGATGGAGTAGAAAAGGTGATAGCCTATGCAAGTCGAGCACTCAACAAGAGTGAGAAGAATTACTGCACCACGCGGAAAGAAATGCTGGCACTGGTCAATTTTGTTAAACACTTTAGGGCATATCTCCTCGGTAGACATTTCATTGTACGCACTGATCACAAAGCCCTTAGCTGGCTACATAACTTCAAAGAAGCTGAGGGTCAGATTGCCAGATGGCAAGAACACCTACAAGAGTATGACTTCGAATGCATGCATAGACCGGGTAAGAATCATGGAAATGCAGATGCATTGTCAAGAAAACCTCTTAGGTATCACGGTGACTGCCCATCATGCACCGAAGCACAAGTTTCGCTGCTCCAACTAGAGGCTCATACTTCATATAGTTGGCCTGAACTTCAGTCTTCAGACCCTGAACTGGCCTTGATTTACGAACGTGTTCGAAATGGAGGCGAACGACCGACAACCCAGGAAATAAGTAAGCTTGGATGGGAAACCCGGTGTTTATGGTCTCTGTGGGATAATCTGAAAATTGTCGATGACATCCTCTACTACCAACATGGACCCACTTATACTCGTCGCGTTGTGGCTCCACAGTCGGCACTACCCACAGTACTATTGTCATTACACCAGCAGTTAGGCCACGCGGGCTCAGGGAAAATGATTGAAGCGGCTAAAAGACGTTATTGGTGGCCTCACCAGAGGAAAGACATCATAGATTTCTGTGACTCCTGCGAGGTATGCCAAACTATTAAGGCTCCGCACAAATATAATAAGGCACCCTTAGAACCCATTATAACTGGCCATCCGAATGACTTAGTACAAATAGACTTGGTTGGACCTCTCCCAGTAACTTCCAGAAATAATAACTATATTTTAGTCATGGTAGACCATTTTACCAAATGGTGCGAGGCTATTGCGATACCACAGATTGATGCTGTAACCATCGCAGAGTCAATTTTTGACCACTGGGTCAGCCGTTGGGGGGCACCACTTCAACTGCATTCAGATCGAGGATCCAACTTTGAAAGTATCGTTGTCAGCGAACTCTGTCGTATAATGGGTATCCGGAAGACACGCACTACCGCGTACCACCCACAGGGAAATGGCTTGGTTGAACGCACCAATCGGACACTTAAATCCCTCTTGCAGGCATTTGTAGATCAAAACAACCCCAGGGAATGGGACCGATCACTCTCACAGTGCTTAATGGCATACAGAGCAAGCATTCACAAAGCTACGCGTCAAACGCCTCATTATATGGTCACTGGAAGAGAACTCCGGTTGCCAATCGATCTGACTTCAAACACACTAGGAGAGGATACACTGATTGCATCCGAACACGTAATCAGACTTCGACGAAACTTGAACAAGGTACATCAGATGACTAGGGATATACTCCAAACAAACCAGAGGTACCAGAAAGAATACTATGATAGGAAAGCACATGGATCACCAGTGGAGCCAGGAGACAAGGTGATGCTACTTAAGGAGGCACCACCTAAAGGGAAAGCTCTTAAATTCCATAAACGCTGGGAAGGACCATTCACTGTAGTAGAGGTACTAAGTGACTGCACCTGTAGGATTCAGGAACCGAATTCCTCTCATAGTCTAGTCACACACTTCAATAGACTAAAACCTTTTCGACAACAGGCCTTAGTTCAGACAAGTCCCGCAGGAACAGTCACCTAGCACTGCGGACAGTGCTCCTATGGGAGAGGGGGTAGTGTAAGGCATGGTAAGTTTGGCGGTTTTCTAATGTTCAAACCATGCTTGTCTACTTTCAGGTTGGCTGCGAAGTATGCAGGGATTGGTTACCCAAGACGAGGCAACGGATGACCAATAGGAGTGCCCTTCCCTCTTATCTAATTGTATTGCGATTGGTTGTAAATATAATACTTGACCTTGAGTCTTCGTTCTTACTAGCACGCAACACTTGTGTGATCATGCTGCTAACGTGCGCTTTGCTCTCTGTTTCAGATCATTGCTTGACGAGTGGGATTACATAATGGTTCGATCGTGTACAAGTTCGACGAATACGATCAAAAAAGAATAAAAGTGCATAATAAATATGTATAAAACGTTTGTTTGCAGACTTATACTGTTCTCCACTTTAAGTGCCAAACAATATAAATTCCTTCTTACAATATTGGTGTTTTGGAGTTAAAGTCGAAGGTAGTACATAGTATTTATCGGTTCGGAGCGTCTTCGTAACAATGGGAACTTAGGGATAAGTTCCTTGACAATCACCACCAACTGAAGAGATTTCACAGAGGTTCCTTCCTTCCCTCAGTTATCTGGCTAGGAAGCACTGTTTCCACCAGAGGCATACGTCACGGATGAAGACATCAAAACCAGCCAGCCATAATCGGAAAGGCAAGACAGATGTCTTCACCAACCTGATATCACTTTTGAAATATTCAGTCAGCATAAACAACAAGATTCAGATTCTGTTCAAGACAAATGTGAAGTAGGTCCTTCTATACCGGTCAGAAGCTTGGCGCGCGTGTCACAAAAAGCATTTCCAATAGCCTCTGAAGACTTCTATCAACAGCTGTCCTCTCTGGCTCCAAATTGAAGATCAAATGGCTAGCCGGCCAGAAAGAATTGGCAACAAGAAACTCTAGCAACAAGCCAAAGATGAGCTGCTTGCTCAATAAATATGTAGGGGAAAATGGTGATGGACAGATTGGGCTCATGCCACTGTGGAGACTGTTAAATGACATCGTGAGCAATGCAGGACATCACTCGAGTAGAATCTCAATGGAAAGTAACGAGTGGATGGTCGGCGCTAGAGTGACATGGAGGAGGACACGAGACATTATGGACAATCGTTGGCGCAGGTGAAGAGGACAGCAGGAAATAGAAGACAGCGCAGATGTGTTGTTGAAGTCGTATGTTCCAAAGGAATAATAATTTTGTTTTGCGCAAACTGTTATTCTCGCTTTGATTTACACGTTGACTGATTGAAATAAAATATTCGGCTTCTGTTGAGATAAATGCTTTCATATAGACCAAGTGGTCTGGTGGATAATGCTCTGGCGTTCGACACACTGTGTTCAGGGTTCGAGTTTCACTAAGAACATTACCAGTGAATGAGAATTGCAGGTACAGCCACAAACTGATGACTCCCAAATAAGAAGAAATGTGCGTTGTCCTAAAATCTCACTGTTAGTCGGCATCCACCAAATTACTGTGGTGATTTATCACTAGGAGTAATGAAACTCAATTCGTTTGAAGTAATTTCTAGTATGATTATTCCTCAGAAGTCGTCAAAGAATCCATACTGGGAGCCGACATGTCAACACAGTGGCCGAACACTTCGGCCCAGGTGGGAGAATCAAAATTGAATTAATAACAAATAATACTATCCAGAACTCATAGGGTAGATCAACACGAGAGAAAAAAGTGCCTAAATCGGAATCCTTAGTCTTTATTTCTATTGTGGCATTAGCTACTGACAAGATTTATAAGTAGTATATAGACACAAATACAGAAATGTGTGTCACCTGAATGAATATCAAATAGCTGAGAGGTGAATTTAATAGCGAAAAGAAGGAATGCTTGGACAATACTTGTGAGACAATATAGAGGCCATGACAGGAAGACGAAAGTAGCACAATCCGGAAGATATGTGCGAACTGTGATTCTGCCATATGGTAGATGTATATCGCCTAAATACCTATACACTGAGTCACCAATAAATTAATCCTTTCTTGCTTTTGATATCACTCAGCGGTTTCATCAGTGTATATTCGGTCCACTTCCATTTTCCGTCGGAATATTTGTAAGTCAACAGGTTCTTGGTTGGTTCGTTCACAAAGTTCCCTGTTTGTTATTCTTCATAGCCGGTTATCTGCTTTTCAGCATAGAGAGAAGTCAGAGGCTGATAAAAGTCTCCAGAGGACTGTTAGAAATGCTTTTCGTGACGTGCACTGCATGTTTCTCAAACACCGAAGCCGACATATCAACCTGACACCGATCACTTCAGCCCAATCAATCAATCGACGGGAAAATCAAAAAATTCAATTCAATAATTAATATGACCCGTTGCACAAGAGGTAGCCAGCTCTCGTGGCCTAAGGGGTCTATTGGATAACGCTTTGGCGTTTAAAATTATGGTCGCTGGGTTCGAACCCCGGTGAGAATATCATCACTCACTGACTGAGGAATGCAAGTACATCCAGATGACGAACCCCAAAAAGGACGAAATGCGCATTTTCCTGGTGGATTCCACTGCTAGTCACCACCCACCAATTAGAATATATTTAAAGTGAATA